CCCACATCGCTTCCTGTCTCCTCTACACTATCCTATTGAAATAAAGGCAAAAATCTCCAAAAATAAACTTTAAATCCAATGCGAAATCTGCAAGAAGTATTTCTTCCTCATGCAAAATTCCAGATTGCATGGATAACTGGATTTCAACAACAAAAATTCACAGAACAACAGTAAATGTGATCATAGCTTTATGATGTGAAATTCTGAACAGGCATGATGAACCGTTCAAATTTCTTCAGGACAAACAAATCTGACAAAAATCTTTATTAACATGTAATTGTGTAAGAAAATGACCTTTTTCAGTTACTTGAGTCTTGAATACAGTCGATAAAGCTTTTTGACACAGAGCTTTCCCTATCTGATCTTTTTTTTCCCCTCGTCTCAAGAAATATCTGCGTCCACACGAAACCACAAAACCGACCCAAAACGATGTAGTATACATGCCAGACCAGTATGTGGCTCTATAATTCTGCCACAGAGATGCACTAAAAACAGAAGAATACTTGGACTATGCGCATAAACCTTCCGCGCGGTATACAAATGAACATGGAACAATACATTTATTAATCTGTGTTAATGTTAGTTAATAAAAAGACAATCGTTCAGTGTTTGTTCATGTTTTTGTTGCGGTTATGTGACGTAGTGGTGTCTGACTAGGGGCGAGACGTGGGGCTGATGACGTCATCGTTTCAGAAAATATACGGATTCGCTGTCCACACGAAAATGCAAGGGTGGCGTTTTCAGATTTATCCACTCTGGGACCCGGTTTCAAAAAATATCGGTTTCACTCTCCCAAAACGCCGGATCCGTGTGGACGAAACGCCTATACGATACAAAATGTATGCGTATACAGCTAAACACGTCTCCGTGTGGACGGGGGCCTTAGACATAAGGTTGGGCAAAAAAAAAACATTTTGAAGTGCCTCACTCTGATTTCTTTTTACTTTAAAGGAATTTGCTGACTCTTTAGCAATCCCCTTCCTTGAGACGAGCGCTAAGAATGCCACAAATGTGGAGCAGGCCTTCATGACTATGGCTGCTGAGATCAAGAAGCGCATGGGCCCTGGAGCAACAACCGGAGGAGACAAGCCCAACCTGAAGATCGAGAGCACTCCTGTGCGGCAGTCTGGCGGCGGCTGCTGTTGAAGAGCCTGAGCGTGCACACACACATACACACACAACCATCCCTTTCCCTCATTTTCAAAACGAATTTTCTCACACACACCAAAAAAAAAAGCATCATTCTCACGGGAGGAACCACTGCATTAAGAGCCAACGTTTAACAGCCTTACGGCTTCATTTATGACACCATAGTCTTCTTGTTTTTATTCTCCTTAGCCTTTCCTTTTGTGTATGACACCTCACCCCTTTTTCCTCCCTGTGCACATTAATAACCCCACCCACATCCATAACCCCGCCTTCTGTACTTAAAGTCCAGGATGGAGCTTTAGTACAGTCATATGTTCATGTATAGAAACAAACAAGAGCAGATCTAGGGGCGATTCTCAAATCCTCCTTTTAAACAACTAGCGAGGTTGCGTTAAGAACGTTAACCCGTCTCTCTAGTATTTCTAATTCTCTCACACGCCGTCACTTGAATGAGGTTTTGTGGGCGAAAGCATGGCTTCTGGGGCTGAATCGACAGGAAGTCAACTGCATACAAAGTCGGCAATATTCTATACTTGTTCTCATCCTACTAGTATATTATTGTTATTATGGTGATTTTTAAGACTGATTTGTTAATTTTTTTTTTCTGTAGGTTTTTGTTTTTCTAATGAAGGCTTGTACAAAGGCTTACTGCTGTCATTGATATAGTCTGGTCAGGGAAGAGGCGGATATGGATGTTTTTTGTTCATAATCTGGATTTTGGGGGTCTAGGCTTTAGGCCGATGAAAGCTACTGTTCCCTCTATTACCTCAATGACCTCTGCTACCTTTGAGTGTTCGGCCATCACAGGGTCAAAATGAATGCACGAACACCATCTTGACACGTCGAGGTTGTATCATGCTGCGGTCAGCAGTTTTGTGGCTTTGGTTTGAAACCTCCGATCTATAATTTGGTGTCGTTTTACCATTTTATTGAGCCAGACTTCCAATCCGTAGTCGTCGCTGCTGCCAAAAACGGTCCATCATGCATTGTGTGCGCGCTTTGTATTTATTTACATACGGTAAATATATTTACATATTTGTGAGGGGCCTTAATTTTGCCACAGATGAAATCAGCGTGGTAGTTCCATGGATCCGGTTTAGTGTGCTGTGTGTTTGTGTGGGAATATTGTGTTTTACATCTAGGAATATTGGGATTGACTGGTCCAGCGCAGGAGACCGGATATGACCTCCCATGTTCTTTAATGAGAAATATTCATACACCTTCAAATCTACCTACAGATGGATCTTTAAAGGTCTAGAAGCTCATTTAGATGTTGCCTTCGGTGATCAAAGAGGTTTATATGGATCCTGCACTCTTCTCCACATGGTTGCAACTCGGTCTTATCAGCATTTTCAACAACAACAAAAAAAAAACAAAATGCAAATAATTGGTCTGATGAGTGTTTTATTATGTACAACGTGGATCTAGAAAACGTAGAGTTTGTGAACTTCATTAGTATTAGTGCATCACTTGATCTGAACTAGTCTCGCCATCGTGATATTAGATCACTTTCGCTCACTGAGCCAGTGTAATCTAGTTTTTACACCACTAACATCTGCTAATGCTAACGTAACCGCACATACTTGTCACTAATATTGCGTGCTGGATTTGCTTGTACTGTTTTCTAAGTGAACTGGTAGCGTTGGGATGGAGGGAGCAGTAGCAGGGTTATGGGTGCGTGTGCAATGACTGGGAAGGAGGGACAGGCAAGGGGCAACTGCATTTTGGAATATTCCTTTGATTTTAAAACCGGTCCATCGTGGATCCCGTGTTACGTCTGTGTGAAAATCAAGTCTCATTTAAACCTGCACTCATTCACACACTAAACAGGTGCTTTTTTTGGGATGCGTTCGGAAGGGTCATTGTTTTCTCGGAACGTCTGCTGTCTTTTGATATATGAATTTTGTGGTAATGTGTGGGGTTATCGGAAAGATGAAGGGTGGGGGGGTGGTTACTTAGGAATGTGATGGAGCATTCTTATGCTTTTCGTCTTTTTACTTTTTACCCATGTCATTTGCACATCTCATTTTTTGAATTAAGACACGGCGATGGTAAAATGGCAAGCACCTCTTTAGTAGTTTCCCTGTCTAATATACACACTCTTTCTCTATCCCTCTTTGCTTGCTCACCCCGGTGCTGTTTCATAGCTGGGTTTGATTTTGTTTTCTCTTCTCTGTACATATTATAAATATATATAATAAAATGATCAACATGAGACTTAAAGATGACTTCCTGCTTGCTTTTTTGTTGTGTCGAGTGAAATATTGTGTGGGTGGTGAGGCAAGTATCACTTCCTGTGTTAGCTGGAAAATTGATGACTTGTGAAAGTTGAATCGTAATTACAAAATATTTGTCACTTTTAAAAATAAAAATCATTTTGTCTGAACTGGATGATTCTCATTACTCTGTTACAGTATAATGTAGAATGGAATGAGAATCATTATTTAGAATAATGATAATTACACAGTAAAACATCTGTACCCATTATAGTAATGAGTAAACTATACTATTGTTATTTTAATATTGTTTATATTGAATAACCATTTTAAATTGGGGGAGATGGGGCATGGGAAAAAGTTAATGTATATAGAATTTTTTTTTTTCAGAAATCTTCAGATCTTTTTTAATTCTAATTTTCTGCATGTATTTCTAGTTAGCTTTATCATTTTTGATTTTCATTTAAGTGTAGGTTTTCATCTAATATTTTTATTTTATTCCAGAATATTTTTAATTAACAACAAAAACACTTTCATACAGACCTATGATCTCCATTTTTTTAACATTTACTTTAGATATAAGCAAGCCATAAAGTAGGTCTTTAAGCTACCATGTACCATGTGATAGCAGAGTGAAGGTCACATGAATCCTCCTCTTCCCTGTGTGCAGATTCGTCTCCACCTAGTGCCCTATTAGCATCCCAACAAACGATAATGCATATTTATTATAGCATATTTTACATTAAGGATATGGTGGGGTAATACATTGATATCCATTTTGTATTAAAATCAGTGCCTGTGTCCAGTAGTAGACTGAGGTATGCAAGACATTATGCCTTTATCTGTTTATTTTACTCCTATCGGATGACTGACTATAAACACCATAAATAGAAACCATTTGATATAATATTTGACCTGTTGATTTACTATGTCTCGTGCGCTTGTTTTTGTCTCTGAACAGACACATTTGGAGGCTCCTACATGTGTAGAAGGGCTGAGCCAATGACCTTGAGTTATTTATAGCCAGTCAGAGTAACTGCAGTCAGTATGCAGGATCGTCCCGTTCTGCTCCGACTCCCCTGAGATAGAGAGAGAGAAGAGGAGATAGGAGCGGATGCTGCATCTCTCTCTAATTTCTCACTGTGCCAGCTCATCAAAATCACTAAACTGAGACCCTGAAAATGTAAAGAGATCTGAGCATTCCTGTGTAGCTCATGCAGCATCACACACACACGTGGATGCTAAATTTAAACTCTTGTTATTCTGACTGAGAGCTGGTTGATAGTTTTGTCTTCGTCTTTTTGCATTTCACAATTTTGCATTGGTGATTAGGTGAATCTCACTGTCAAATACACGCCTTGGTCAAATTTCACACCACAATCGAAAGAAAGAAACAAGGATATGCCTATTTTTTAGGATTATTTGACAAGAATTTTTTTTTTGTTTGCTTTTTTCCCTTGATTTTCCCCCCGTTTTAAATAAAACAATTGTAGGCCTATTGCAATCAGGACAATTACGTTCACACCAAGAATAACTATAATGTTAACGATACAGATATAGTTTTAAAAATCGTTCTAAATTTAGAATAATGGCAGAATCAAATGTCTGGACTAAATTAAAGAGAAAACGTGCTTTGCCCATTTGTTTTTTTTTTGCCAAACGCCACAATGCAAAAAGTCTTAGTGGTGAAATGTGACAAATACATTTTGCTCCATTGCTGAAAGCTGACTGCAGTTGCTTTGTCAACATTACACATTATGTAAATGAAGCTCTTACAAATGCAAATGTATGCAATTTCCACTCACTTCTTTTTACACACAGCGCTCATGTTTTTCAACTTTTATTTCATCACTTTTATTTACACATTCTGCATCACATAACAAAATTGATTCCCTTTTTATGTCATCCTTGCCTTATTCACAAGCTCTTAATTTTGTGTCCTTTTTAATTTTGCGCCCTCCACAGTATCTCTGTTTCTGTTATTCAGTCTCAACATCTCACTTTCCACACGGCAGCTGTTCCTCTCAGTCGACGGGCCCTTGGAAGATGAGTTTGATGTGGCCTTGTTCCCCAGTCAGCCACGTTCCACAGAAAGGACAAGCAGCGTGGAAGGCATGCGTTCCGTGCGGCAGTGGGATCTGACTCCAGCCTTGCACTGTCTTTTCTGAGCACACGTGACCGCAGGGGCAGAACGCATGTGTGGGGGGCCCCGCGTCCAGATACAGGCCCCCTTCAAACCCGAGCCAGAGGGGCACGTAGGGGCCCACCCCTCTGCACATGGGACACTCTCGCTCTCCTGTGGTAGCTGGAGCTGTGCCTCCACCCCCGCTTAACGCCACCGCAGACGATCCCGCTTTCTCTTTACGAAACCCCCAGTTGTGGTAGCCGTGCACATGGCCGCAGTTCATATAGACCCAGGGCTGTTTCTTGTCGATGGTGGCGCGCTGTGCTAGGCTGGGGAAGGCGAGCGTGTTGAAACCCACGGGACACTGGGGACGGGCGGCGTTTAGTTCCTGGCGTAGAGACTCGAGCTGTTTGAGAGTCGGGGTGTGACGAAGACCGCTAGGCGTCCGCCAAAGCAGAGTGGCCCCGCAGAGATCGATGAGAGAGCCATCCTGCAGCATATTTGACTCGTTCTCTACCTGTCGGATAAAAAACACACACATGAAATCACTCAGGACATTCTGCAATATGTCTTCTATTGGGTTCCACAGAAAAAAGTAAGTCATACAGGTTTGGATTGACATGAGGGTGAATAAATAATGACAGAAATTACATTTGTGGGTGAAGTGACCTTTTAAGCCTGAAACTTGCCATAATATCCAACTCATTTCATAATTTGTGCTATTTAGCAGATGATAGAGCCACACTCAGCTAGTCAAATAAACGTCATCTTACATTTAATAGATCTTAATTGAAAATGTTGAAAATGCAGTCCAATTAAAATGTTTATGAACGAAAGTAGAACTATAATAAGTTGACAGTGACGTAACTAGAACTTTTTTAGCCCATTTTTTTATACCTGGTTTAAAAGTTTTGAAAGCCTTGAAGAACAGGCCTTGTGAACAGAAAGATAGTTAGATCTTTCAAATGGCACTTAAACAATTTTGGATTTGGTTTATATACACTACTGTTCAAAAGTGTGGGGTCAATAAGATTTTTTACGCTCTTATGCTCACCAAGGCTACATTTATGTGATTAAAAATAGAGCAAAAACAGTAATATTTTGAAATATTACTACAATGAAAACAGTTTTCCATTTTAAATATATTTTAATATATGTATGTGATGGCAAAGCATCATTACTCCAGTCTTCAGTGTCACATGATCCTTCAGAAATCATTCTGATATGCTGATTTGGTGCTCAAGAAACATTACTTATTATCAGTGTTGAAAAGAGTTGTGCTGCTTAATATTTTTGTGGATTTTTCAAGATTATTTATTAAATAGAAAGTACAAAAAACAGCATTTATTT